ATGGAATGGAACCCGTCCTGTGCAGCCCCCCACCCCCACCCCGACGTGCCTGCCCGTGCCAGCACTTCCTCCTCAGTTCTTACATCACACTCACCCCGGGACACCAAGGAAAGAGACCCAAGAAGTTGGAAAGGCTGTTTCCATGGACACAATCTCCATAGTGACAATGTGGGGGAGGGGGGAGGGGAGGGATGATGGGAGAAGGGTGGGGGGAACTAAAAGGGAGGGATAAAAATATATATCTATAAATCTATTTTTAGTCTGGAAAGACTTTGTTTAAATGAAAGGTGCGCTATCCCTTTTGATTCTATTTTAAAATTACCTGGTTCAAGAACTCCAAATTGTTCCAATGACAATGAAATTCAAGTGTGAAATTGAACTGAACAAACTCATCTCACAAGGACGGGTGTGTGGCTCGGTTCGTGGCCTCTCCTGCCAACCCGGAGAGCCGTTGCCCAGGACCGAAGAAACAGATGAGCCGCGCCGAACCACCCCGTGTCACTTGTCTCCAGGTGGGGAGGTATGGGGGAGGGGAGGGGAGGGCCATGTTTTCAAGAGTGGGGGAATGATGTTTCAACACAAATAAATTTTTTCATTTCCAGAAACACTATTTATTTATTATTATTTTAAAATTTTTTTTATCTTTTTTTTGATGGGGTGGGTAAGTTGGCGGAGACCCCACAGTCACAGCCAGGTCCTGGGTCACTGGCTGGCGAACCCACGGGCCTCACCGTGTGTGCACAGTGGGCGCTGGACAGCAGGCGGAGATGAGGGGCCGCAGCCCCTGCACGTTCGGGGCACCTGTGTCCTGCCCCCCGGGAGCAGGAGGTGGCCCAGGCCTCTGCTGCCGGGCAGGGACATGAGTCAGGGCTGCCCTGTGGGTCAGTGGGCCGCGCCAGCCAGAACACCCGGTTACCCTGCTTGCTTTTCGCACTCATTTTTATAAAGGAAAAGGAGGCCTGCCAGTTGAGCGGTCCCGTGCTACATGATTACGTTGTATTGTTTTGTTTTGTAAATTGTATAATTTTTAAATATCTGAGTTTTAAAAAAAGAAAAAAGTACAAAAAAAACTTGTTAAGGCCTTAAGAAGGGGTTAGTGCATCTTTCAGGGGTCACTCTGCCGTGGGGATAAACTAGCTGTTTCACAAACAGTTTTATTAAGAAAAAAAAAAGAAAAACAAAAAAATAATAAAGTTCATTTTAACCTTGTTTCCTTTGTTTACTCTAAAGTGAACCGTCTCTTCCTCCCACTCTGACACCCAGAAGGTGGCTGTGGGTTGGGCTTCGGGCAACACTGCCCTCTGACCTCGGCTCGGGCCTCCAGCCTCACACAGGCAGGGCTATCCTCGTGGCTGTCCCAGACGGAACCGCAGCTGCTCCCCTGGGCTACCAGCCCGGGCCAGGGAGGCAGTCCACGTCAGGGACAATCACATCTCCATACATGGACATGTTGCCAGTCAACAGTAATTTTAAAGGTTATAGAAACATAATCCAGTGTTAATGGACTTTGAGAGTAAATATTAGAAGGACTTGTGAAGTGGAAACAAGCGATGATAACTGGGTTCCTCTGGGCACATTGGTTTGAGGCAGCACAAAGGGCAGGTTAACCTCATCTTAATGGCTGCACCAGCGTGCGGCCCATCTCTCTACGCAGCCAGCACGGTGGCAGAGGCACGTTCAGGTGGCCAGGTGGGGTCTACTCAGAAATGCCAGCTTTTTGAGCTGCTCCATTCAGCTTCTGCTTTTGACTTGGCATTAACACTGCTGACATGATGTTAAGTTTCAGGTGTTGAGTTTGAGACCACAAAACTTGGAAAACGGGTACCTTGAGGAAGATGTTTTCCTGGTGGCGAAGACGTCCTCATTGTGCGTCTTGACTCCTGTGGTCCCTTTTGGCGTGCTGACCCTTGAATGAGGACTGCCGCTGTCCTAGGTCTTTGCTGGGACTGGCTTCCGGAAAGCACTGCAGCCCCTGCGGTGAGCCTCAGCTGTCCGTGCCCCATCAGCCCCGCTGCCGGCACCCCTGAAGCCCCCACAGCTCCACCAGAGCAGACGGCAGGCTGGGATGCAGGGATACCCTTACATAAGTCTCCGTGGCTTGTTCACTAACAGTGACAGACTTTTGACAGTGGAAGGCATGGCTGAGGGCAGGCGGCAGGGAGGTGGAGGCTGGCCCGCTCTGCTGGGCTTCCCTGTGCTGCCTGCCTCAGGACCACAGGCGATGTGAAACGCTTGGAGCTCTGGAGTCAATGGCGTTGGCTACACCAGCCACTAAGAGGCAGCCCAGGTTGTAGAGTGGGAAGGGCACTGGGCCACCATTACAGACTCTCCCCTGGCCTTCAGAGCCTGGCACCAGAGGGCAGTGCCCTTCACATCCCTGTCTGCATGGCTGTGGCTGGGGAGAGCATGGCACACCGGGCAAGGGTTAAAGCAGTATCCAGGGCCACTGTGTTCCAGAACCATGACAGACACATGTCCTACAGTCCACCTCACACCATGTGGACTCCCTGACTGCCCCAGGATGGGGACACTTAGCTGGATCAGATAGGTGGCCATACCCAGATCAAAAAGCCCCCAGGGTGTCTAGGGTTTTTTCCTCCTAGTCTGTTGAGTAACCTCAAAACTGAAAGCCCAGGGACTCCTGTTCCCCACAGTCCAGCTCTAGGCCAGACACACAATCCATGCCAACTGACCCCACACTGCACCCCATCTGCCCTAGATGATGCTTTACGGCACCTTGGCCTTGGCACCACCAGTCCACTTCCAGGAAGCTTTTCCAGAAGGCCCAGCCCCAAAGTTGGACAGCATTCCCATAGCACTCAGCAGGCCCCATCTGCTGGCCTTGGACTTCAGCTCTTGTGACCTTGCCTCCTCAGTCATGCACACCCGGTCTTACCCCATGTCTTCCCTCGAGACCCCCCTGGGCCCGGCCCTCACAGCCATGGCTGTAGGTCCAGCACAGGTGAAACAGCCCAAGACGAGACACAGTGGAGGCTAGGTAACAGGAAGACCTCAGCAACCTCTGCCCTCTGGCCTGGCAGGAGAGTGGGGAGTGGGGATTCACCAGTGGGGAGAGAAGCTTCCACACTGCTGTCAAACCCAGTGGGAGTCGAAAACGGTGGAAGCCAGTGCCGTTCGGGGACACAGCCCCAGTCTCCCGTCTCTCGAGTCCAGAGGGCTCGGACCTGTTCAGGAGGCCTCTGGGGAAGCGTCCTCACGGGGCAGTAAGGGGAGCTGGGACACCAGGTGGGAGCCTGTCCGGAAGATGAGGCAGTCTGTATGCACAGGGGGAGAGGAGACAGAATCCCTTCAAGACCTGGGACACTGCACTGTCTCCAGAACTTGCCCCGCAACCCTGTGCTGGACAAGGGACCTGGGGTGGGGGTACCCTGCCCAGATCCGCCCACCCTCTTGCTCAGGAAGTTACATCTCCCCACACCCTTGTGTTTATCTCAGCCCCTCTGGATTTCAGTAAGCCCAAATGACATAACTCAACCTGAATACCACCTCTTCTGTTACTGAAGAAGGGTGGGGGTGAAGCCTGCAGGCAGTGGCCCCACCTTGGCTGGTGTGGTAGCCCCTGCTTGGAAGGGACAGGAGACTGGCAGAGGAAGGGCCTGGCAGCCATGGCTCCAGCCTGGAGGCGGCACTCCTGGCACGGGCTTGTTCCAAGGTTGGTGCCTTTCCTCGGAGGCTGGCGCCCACGGAAGCATCGCAGGGGCAGGTTTAGGAGAGGTGGCGGCAGGACGGGGTGAGGCTGGAAGGGGGGCACAGGAATCCGCTCATTGCTTTGTGGTCTTGAGGGGCCTGTGAGGGCGAGAGGAAGCCACAGCACCCACTGGCTCTCCAGGCCCTTGTCTCCCAAGGGTGCTGTAGTGGGTGACACATTTGCCTGCTAACCAGGTCGGCGGTTCCAACCCACCAGCTGTTCCACGGGAGGAAGATGAGGCAGTCTGCTTCCATAAGGATTATAGCCCTGGAAACTCAATGAGAGTCACTAGGAGTCAGAATTCAGTGGACGGCAGTGGGTGTTTCCAGAAAGAATGTGAGCAGCTGCTGGTTCAGGGCAGGTGACTGGCAGGAGCGGGAAGCAGCCCCACTCCCCTGAGAGCAGATTCCTTTCTGTGCTCAGCCAGCCGGTGCCCTGAGCTTCCTGGTGGCTCCGTCAAAGAGGGAAAGTGGCCATCTGCCTTGGGGCTGGCTTTGCAGATGTGAGTGGTATTAGTGTGTGTGTGTGTGTGTGTGTGTCAGTGTGAGAGTGAGGGCTGTGTTAATGTCTGTCCATGTGGGGTGGTTTCAGGGTGTGTGGATATGTGTGTGAGCGTGTCTGCGTGTGCATGTGGGAGTAGTCTGATTGTGGGACTGTGTGGGAGTCTGGGTGTCAGGTCTGCATAGTGTGAGGAGGTAGGGGGACACTGAGGACCTCAACTCCCCGCCCCGCATGTGGCCCATCTGAACATTATCTCGACCCCAGGCAAGTGACTGACACACCTGGAGAGTGAAGGCCGCTCTAGGATGCAGCAGGTGAGGGGCCGGTCCTGAGCAGCAGGCTGTAGGCCTTTAGGACGTGAGGAGACAAGAGGCAGAGGAAGACAGTGGTGTGGCTCTTCCCCACCCCCCTTAGCAGCCAGATGCCGGCCAGATCCTGCAGAGCCAGAAAGAGAATAGGGCCTTCACCTCGTAGGCCTCCAACCCTCACCCTGCAGAGGCCAGGCCTGCTGTGTCCACCTGGAGCCTGCCCCAGACTGGCTCCTCCTTCTCAGCCTTGCTCAGTGCAGACACTGGTCAACAGCAGGATGGCTGCAGGCAGAGGGCAAAGGTCAGTCCCTGTCCCTTTATAACATGGGGCAGGGCAGGCGGGACAAGCCCTCTGGGTGTGGAGGGTACATGTCTGGTCCTAGGAACCTGGTTGGGCCTGAGGGTGTCAGGTGTGCCCATTGCTACCCACGACCTCTGGGAGGTCTGTCAGAGGAGCCTGTCAGACAGGAGGAGAGGCAGCCATGGGGCTGCTGACTGGGGAGGCCCTGATGCCCGTGGCCGTGGCCGTGGCCGTTTTCCTGCTCCTGGTGGACCTGATGCACCGGCGGACACGCTGGGCTGCACGCTACCCGCCAGGCCCCGTGCCAGTGCCCGTGCTCGGCAACCTGCTGCAGCTGGACTTCCAGGCCATGCCCTACAGCTTAGGCCGGGTGAGGCAGGTGCGGGGGGCACCAGGGGCCCTGGACCCCCGTGCGCGCCGGTCAGTGGGTGGTGGGTGAAGCCACAGGCAGACAAGGTGCTGGCCCAGAAGACAAGGCAGACGGGGAGGCTTCCTGGGGGAGGAGTCGGTGCTGGGCCACAAGGGTGGTGTGGGCTTTCAAAGAACAAAAATCTGGGGGGTGGGGAGGACTGAAGGCCAGAAGGTGGGGTGGGACTCCCCAGCAGGTGGGAAACACAAACATCACGCAAGGCCCCAGGGCCCAGATGACCTGAGGAGGAAGGAGGGGTGAGGCCTGGGCACCACTGAAATCAGGGTCTGGAGGGGACAGGGGTGCAGAGACCACGTCCAATCTTTCCCCCGGACTTTGGATTTGCTGTCTACCTGTCTGGTTCCCTCACCTGTACAATGAGATGCTGCCTCGTGCTTACAGACCGCGTGGGTGGCTTCTGTATAATCAGAGCTGGGCAGTGGGACCCAGGGGAAGACCTCGACCTGGACAGGGTGCGACCCCTGAGGTCATGAAGCCAGATTTTGTCTGTGACCCTCTTGGAGGGGCCACAGGAAGGACTAAGGGTGCGCGGTGAGAATGGGGGCCACAGCCGCGGAGTGTGGGACTGACGGGTGCCCTGGCCCTCGCCCTGCAGCTGCGGCGCCGCTTCGGGGACGTGTTCAGCCTGCAGATGGGCTGGACGCCCGTGGTCGTGCTCAACGGGCTGCAGGCAGTGCGCGAGGCGCTGGTGCTCCGCGGCGAGGACACGGCCGACCGCCCACCCATGCCCGTCTACCAGCACCTGGGCTACGGGCCGCGCGCGCAGGGCAGGTCACCGCGTCGCCTGGGACCGCTTCCGGGCGGGGGAGGGGCCTGCTGTGACCCAAAGACCCAGCAGAGTGTGTCCACAGGCCCGGCGCTGGGGGGCGCTCAAAGGCCGGGCTACTCCCTGAGCAGCAGCTGGAGGGAGGGGTCGGTCCTGAGCGCGGCTACGGGCGGGGCGGGGCCTGTAGCAGGCGGAGCTGCGGGATCTGGGACTGGCCAGTCCTTGGCAGAACTGCTGTGGGGTGGGGGCAGGAACTGTATTGGGATGGAGCGGGGAGAGGCTGGTCCCTGGAGGGGCTGAAGGCGGGGGAGATGACTGTCCCCGGCCAGGCAGGAGGAGGCGGTGGGCGGGGCTTGGAGAGGGCGGGGATGCGGGCGGGGCGGGGCCTATCCCGGGGAGGGCGGGGTCGTTGCTTACCGGCCCCGCCCACATGGACGCGTCCCGCAGGCGTGATCCTGGCGCCCTATGGGCACGCATGGCGCGAGCAGCGGCGCTTCTGCGTGTCCACACTGCGTAACTTCCGCGTGGGCAAGAAGTCGCTGGAGCAGTGGGTGACCCAGGAGGCCGCCTGCCTCTGTGAAGCCTTCGCGGCGCAGGCAGGTGAGAGCTGGGGCGCTGGGACACGGGCGGGGGCGGGCAGAGAGGCGCCCTGTGACCCGCCCCCTCTTCCCAGGACGCCCCTTCAGCCCCGACGTCCTCCTGAACAAGGCGGTGACCAACGTGATCGCCTCCCTCACCCACGGGCGGCGCTTCGAGTATGACGACCCTGTGCTCCTCAAGCTCTTGCAGTTGATGGAGGCCGGACTGAAGGAGGAAACAAGCGTCCTGCGCCAGGTGCAGGGGGCGTAGGAGGACGGGGGCGGGGCGCTGGCGGGGCGAGCTTCCGGGAGGAGGCTGCTTGCCTGCGCCCCTGAACTTCCTCGTTGTATTAGGAGCTTTGGTGAAAAGAGATTCCAGGGAGGGCTACAGAGAGAAGAGCAAAATCAGGCCCAGGGTCCCCCTGGGACCTGAGGATGGGCCCCGCTGAGCGCAGGAAGGACCTCAAGCCCTCCCGTGACCGCACAGGTGGTGAACGTGTTCCCAGCGCTCCTGCACATCCCGGGGATGGTCACCCAGGTCTTCGCAGGACAGAAGGGGTTCATGGCCCTGCTGGAAAAGATGATCGCTGAGCACCGGGAGACCTGGGACCCAGCCCAGCTGCCCCACGACCTGACCGATGCCTTCCTGGACCAGCTGGAGAAGGTGAGGGGTGCCTGCCCGTGTTGGGGGTGTGGGACTATGCACAGAGGCTCCAGGGCAGCCCCCAGTGACAGGGGCCCGGACTGACAGGAGCAGGGTGGGAGCCGTCTGGGGCTTCCCCTCGGCCCCTGGTCTGACTGTCTCTGCCTGGCACAGGCCAAGGGGAACTCTGAGAGCAGCTTCACGGATGAGAACCTGCGTCTGGTGGTGGGCGAACTGTTTTCTGCGGGGATGGTGTCCACCTCCACCACGCTGGCCTGGGGCCTGCTGCTCATGCTTCTGCACCAGGATGTGCAGCGTGAGGAGCCTGGGGCTGGGGGGCGGACAGGGTGGCCTACTCCTCCCCCCAAGCTTAATGTAGACACCAGGGCCCTCAAGCAGAGGTTCAGCCCGGGATGCTGTCACCATGGACCCCTCCCTGTAGGCACAGTCCCTAAAGAGGGACTTCACACTCGAGCCCTGGTAGGCTCGGGGTCTGGGCCCCTGGGTCCTGGCTCACCTGGGGACTCCTTCCTGTCTATCCAGGTCGTGTCCAGGAGGAGATCGATGAGGTGATAGGGCAGGTGCGGCCACCTGAGATGGGGGACCAGGCCCGCATGCCGTTCACCACAGCTGTTGTCCACGAGGTGCAGCGCTTTGGGGACGTATCTCCACTGAGCATGCCTCACATGACCTCTCGTGACACTGAAGTGCAGGGCTTCCTCATCCCCAAGGTAGGGGTATGAACACCCCCACCCACACTCACTCACACCTGCCAGCTCATAACCCCGGCATGGGCTCTGCCAAGTGAAGCCCAGACAGGCACCAGGCTGCCCATCAACCATCCCCAGGCACCTGACAGTGTGCCCAGCCCTGTGGGTGTGGAGTGCCCAGCAGAGGCAGGGCCAGTTCCTGTCCAGAGCCCCCATCTGGAGAAAGGCAAACTGAACACTCCACGGAGTGGGGGAGTGCCCATGTGAGACCTGGGCCTGCCTTGGGGACAGGGAGGGTCACAAGGAGCTTCTTGGGGTGAGTGTTCCTTGAACGAGTCCAGGGTGAACCAGGCAGATCGTGTGTGTGCCCACGTGTGTAGTGGTGGCCAGGGTCACGGCATCCCCTGTCCAGGCCCCACCCACACCAGGCATGTCCTGGGCAGGGGACCATGCTCATCGCCAACCTGTCGTCAGTGCTAAAGGACGAGGCCGTCTGGGAGCAGCCCTTCCGCTTCCACCCAGAACACTTCCTGGATGCCCAGGGCCGCTTCGTGAAGCCAGAAGCCTTCATGCCCTTCTCAGCAGGTGCCTGTGGGGCGCCTGGCTTCTGTTCCTTCCTGAGGGAGATGGAAGTGGGGACCCCAGCCCCCTAAGTTTGCTGAGCCCCGTGCCCCCCACAGGCCGCCGCTTGTGCCTCGGGGAGCCCCTGGCACGCATGGAGCTTTTCCTGTTCTTCACCTGCCTCCTGCAGCGTTTCAGCTTCTCGGTGCCCGCCGGACAGCCCCGGCCCAGCGACCACGGCGTCTATGACTTCCTGGTGTCCCCACCCCCCTACCAGCTCTGTGCCGTACCCCGCTAGAGGCACCAAGCCCCAGCCCACTCCCCAGCTTCACCCTGACCAACAATAAACCACCAGGGGGACTCCACTGTGTGTCTGGGCCCCACCTGTGCCCCCACACAGCCCTTGTAGACAATTGAGGGTCATGGCCTGCTGGGAAGAGGACAAGAACACAGAGTGATGGCAGAAAGGCCCACTGAAAGCCTCATCCTTCCCGTTCTTCACAGTAGTTTCTGGGGACTTCCTTCCATTCTCGCCTCCAGCTGAGGCAGGGTGGGGAGTTTCCTGGAGGGGGTCTGAAGGGGCTCTGGAGGAGACAGCCCCAGCCCCAGGCCCTTCCTGGGCAGGGTCACTTACCTTCAGGACCTGCTGCTTCTACGCTTGAATGTACATCACTACAAAGGGAAACAGGACAGGTGAGACCCAGCTAGGGGCAGCTGGGGTCCTTCCTGACCCGCCTGTCTCTTTGGTGCAGGCCCCCTCACGGGACAGCCACCCCACTGTGGGGAAGTAAGAGTCCGCAGCCCTCACCCACCTGAGTGGTCAAGGGGAGCACTCACCCATCAACCCACTCACCGGCATTATGGTCTCCCCTGTGGGCTGCGTGATAAGGAGGGAGGCCAAGGTGAGATTGGCCTCGGTCCACTGTCGATATCTGCAGAGAGACGACGGGGTGTTTAAGGAAAACCCCTACAGAAAGCTTCAGAAAAACTACCATTGATATCTTCAGAAAGATAAAGCTATGCATTTAGTAAACAAAGTCTGAGGAAGAAATACTCAAGTAACAGCCACAATCTCTTGAAAAGTCATGTTGTTAGGGGCTGTCAAGTCAGCTCCAACTCGTAGCCACCCTGTGTACCGCCAAACACAACACTGCCGCATCCTGCCCCATCCGCACACACCTTCCTCTGTTTGAGCCCACAGGCACCCCTGTGTCAGTCCATTTCATCTCTTACTCGCTGACCCCTACTTTGCCGAGCACAATGTCCTTCAGGGACTGGTAATGTACCCAACATACCCTCCTGATAACATACTCAAAGATGTCCAACAAAGCCTCTAAGGAGCATTCTGGCTGTACTTCTAAGATGGATTTGTTCATTCTTCTCACAGTCCATGGTATATTTACCTCAAAGAGCTAAACAACAGATGTTTCAGAAAGTGGGAACAGATGGAAAGCCAGGATGGTAGGAGAGAAAGCAAATAAATTCCTTTTTGTTCAATAAATTTCCAAGAACTGAAGGACTTAAATTTCCAGAAAGGAAGGACTCACCAAGTGTCCAGGACAATGGATGAAAGAAAACCCACATCACATTTTGTCATCAATATCTCTCAGAACACTGAGGACAAAGAGAAGAACCTAAAAATTTTCAGAGCTATGAAGAAAAACACATGCTTGAGAATTAGAAATTCCATGCCAAGAATTTGGAAGACAGCTACCTGGCCAACTAACTGGAAGAGATTGATATTTATGTCCATTCCAAAGAAAGATGATCCCACAGAATGTGGAAATTATCAAACAGTATCAGTAATATCAACATAGAGGTAAAATCGTGAAGATAATTCAAAAATAGTTGCAGCAGTATATTGACAGGTAACTTCAGAAACACAACCTGGATTCAGATGAGGACATGGAATGAGGGATACCATTGCTGATGTCAGATGGATCTTGCTGAAAGCAAAGATTACTAGAAAGATGATTACTTGTGTTTCATTGATGCAATAAAGGCATTTGACTATGTGGATCAGAACAAATTATGCGTAACGTTGTGAAGAATGGGTATTCCAGAACACGTCATTCTACTCATGAGGAACATCACAGACCAAGAGGCTGCATAGTTTAAAATCAGAAAGGGTGTGTGTCAGGGTCGTATCCTTTCACCATACCTCTACAACGTGCATGCTGTGCCAGTAATCTGAGAAGCTGGACTACGTGGAGAAGAACACAACCTGAGGACTGGAGGAAGACCCATCGATAACCTGCAATACTCAGGTGACACAGCTGTGCTTACTGAAAGTGAAGAGGACTTGAGGCACCTACCGATGAAGATCAAAAACTACAGTCTTCAATATGAATTACAACACGATGTAAGAAAATAAAAATCGTCACAACTGGATCAATAAGCAATATCACAGTAAATGGAGATAAAATTGTAGTCGTTAGGGATTTAATTTTACTTGAATCCACAATCAACACCCATGGAAGCAACAGACAAAAAAATCAGAAGTCATATTGCACTGGGCCAATCAGCAAAAGAACTCTTTAAAGTGTTAAGAAGCAAAGGTGTCACTTTGAAGACTAAGGTGTGCCAAACCCAAACCATGGTATTTTCAGTCATCTCATACTCATGTGAAAGCAGGACAATGAATAAGGAAGACCAAAGAAGAGTTGATGCCTTTGAATAGTGGTGTTGGCAAAGAATACTGAAAGTACTATGAACTGCCACAAGAATGAACAATCTGTTCTGGAAGAAGTGCAGTTGGAATGCTCTTTGGAAGTGAGATTGGCCAGACTTCATCTCCCCGACTTTGGTCATGTTGTCAGAAGGGACCGTTCCCTGGAGAAGGATGTCATGCTTGGTAAAATAAAGGATCAGAGATAAAGGGGAAGGCCGTCAGTGAGATGGATGGATACAGTGGCTGCAACGATGGACTCAGGTACAGCAAAGATTGTGAGGCTGGCGCAAGACGGGGTGATGTTTCACTTGGTTGTACATGGGATCACTGTGAGGCAAAGCCGGCGTGAAGACACCTAACAACAACAATAGCAAATCTTTATGGAAGCAGACTGCCCCATCTTTCTCCCTTGGAGCAGCTGGTGGGTTTGAACCAATGACCTTTTGATTAGCAGCTGAAAGCTTTAAACCATTATGCCACCAGAGCTCCTTTATATCAAACCATAAAGCCACTGCCATTGAGTCGATTCTGACTCATAGCAACCCTCACTGAGTTTCCAATGGGTTACTTTACAGAATGCCTCGTCTTCCTCCCGTGGAGCAGCTGTTGATTTGAACCTCCAACCTTCTGGTTAGCAGCCAAATGCCTTACCCACTACACCGCTAGCCCTCTTTATTCCAAGCCATACTCTTAGTCAATTTTGAATAAGGACCTTCAGACATGTTAGGTCTTAAGACTACCCCTTAGGGACACAAAAGACCTCTACAAAGAAAACTATAAAACACTACTTCAAGAAACCATAAGAGATCTACATAAATGGAAGAAAATCCCATGCTTGTGGATAGGAACATTGAACATTGTGAAAATGTCAGTTCTACCCAAAGCAATCTATACATTCAATGCAATCCCAATCTAGATCCCATCAACATTATTTAGAGATATGGAAAAACCAATCACTAACTTTATATGGAAAGGAAAGAGACTTCAGATAAGCAAAGCACTATTGAAGAAGAAAAACAAAGTAGGCGGTCTCACACTGCCGGATCTCAAAACCTACTATACAGCCACAGTCGTCAAAACTGCCTGGTATTGGTTTAATGACAGATACATAGAACAATGGAATAGGATTGAGAACCCAG